GGGCCGGGTGGATGTTGCTACCACTGGAGAGGCTTGGCCGTGAGTCGCTCGTGCTCTCGAGGAGGAATTTCGGAGGAGGCCCGTTGACGGGTCTGCGGCTGTTTCGCAATCAGCGGGAAATTCAGAAGTTGCCGTTCCATTATTGCGTATGAACTGTAAAGAATACCAAGCAGTGCTCCAATGTCACCTGTTGCCCTTCCTTAGCGAAGCGGAGCGAAAATTGCATTTTTAGCAACAGGACCACGTGTCTTTCGATGCTTCGCAATCTACCAAAGAATGGCCTTAACCAAATGGTGCTGAAGCGATAGATTGGCTTGTGTGTCCTCCTTACTGCAACCCTATAGGGAGCCCTTGATCAAGGCGTTAACTTTAGCAACCGGCAGTATAATACCGCGGATGAACTGAAGGCGGCGGTAGAGGCTATTTGGGCCGACAGCGACGAAACAGCTATGCCAAACGTGGTTCAGATTATGCCGGACAGGATGTTTGAGCTAATTAGAAACTCTGGAGGCCCCACTGATTTCTAATCTCAGCTATGTTTTTGTCTTTTGTTAAGTGTGCACATACTTTTGAAACAAAGAAAAAAATTTCATCCAAAATTTTTTTTCGAAAGTGAGGCGATATTATCTGCTTTGCTTCCATTGATAGGTTATCGACTACGAGAAATCGATTGAGAAGGATTTCATAGCACGAAACCTCATGGTTCCCTTTCAAACGTGAATTTTGAGGGTGTGCACATACTTTTGAAACGCACTGTATAAAGTTAAGTAAATACTATTATTTTACACTAAAGCGAAGCGTAGATGATTTGAGCCAAGGCGAGGACCGCATGAGTTGGAGGATGTAATAAAGCTAAGACGAACTGACCTTCGGTATGGCCGAAGCGAATGCGAAGGCGACGTGAGACGAGACGATGCAACCGCTCAGCGCGATTGCATCATGTCGACTGACGTGGCAGCTGCGCGGGCGATTTGAATGGCAGCAGACAGCCAGGGGTCTGTGCCTATCACAGTCGACGCTCAGTCTGACTGCTGCGCGTTGCGGCATCCTCCCGCGCATGGCCTTTGGAGCATCTTTGCTCAAGGTCGTGCTGCGCAAGTCACGTACAAGGGCGTGACGATCAACGCTTGTCTAGCGTTTACTACAGCGGGGGTGTATGAAAGAGTTGAGGCGTGTTCCGAATACCCAATCGCCGCTTTCAAAGTGGGGCACGCTTACGCTGAGTGTGGCCTCGGCTTTGCTCCACCATACTCGGATGGCGTCATTTATCGTTATTTGGGCTTACCGGTGAGACGATTTCATCTAAAATTTAAAAAAACTGAGCCTCATGATGTACATATTGAACACGAAGAGAAATTCGTGGGCTGTCGATGAGAAATTGGTGTGTTTTGCAGACTCCTCTTGAAAGATGTAACGACACTGAGTGCGAAACGAGTATCGCCAACGCGAGGTTTGTTCCTGATGGTGATTTATTAAAAAAAGGGTTGCTCAGCAGCAGGCGGGCAAGTAAAAAATTGTTCGCTGGAGTTTTCTCATTGATTGAAAGTGCCGGTACACCTCTCTTGCTTGACTTGAGATGGTAGGGAACCCAGCTGCTTGGAGCATTGAGAAATAATTGAATTCTACAGCGCTTAGCTGCGATACGCGTTTTTGATTGACTAAAAAGAGTACGACATAAAGATTGTCAAAGACGAAATCAACAAACCGGATCGCTTTTGACGAATTTCGATTCCTCTTCTGGTCCCTAAATAGGAACTCTATCGTAAGCATTCATATGAGCATCAGTAGTTCTTATGCATGTGTCTATTCCTTATTGGAAGGAAAAGGGCCTCCTAATCTCACCATGGTAATCACCTCGAGAACTTAGAAGAATGAACTCACGGTATAGAGAGGGATGTTTATGAACGCCTTCCTGTAGAGCACACTCTTCGGGTGCTGAGTCACGATAACATTCCACGACTATTTGGTTATGGCGGACTTCCATCGGTTCATCGAATTTGACCTGTTAAAGCATTCGTTCAATTTGATTTATTTAATTCGCCTAATTTTGGCATGTATACTAGCTAGCATAATAACCGACAATGAGTTCTAACCTTCTTGGCCTCACCTATAATGACCTTGCCAACGGTGTTGACTAGTAGTGGATGGTAGTAGCACCTGCAACGGGATTATTCTATGTTGCGTTTTCTTTTCCTTTTTTGGAATACGCCGAGTCGACGCTTTCAGTTGCAATTACATAGGATATTGAGACACTCTTCCTTTGCTCGTGTTACTTGAAGGATAACAAGATGCGGCATTCGCCGTTGGTCAATCCTTGTTGGGATGCGGCACGCATTCCACTTCCATTTGTACATCCCAGCGGCATTTTAATGCGATGTGGCCTATACAATGGCTTGCGGGGGTCAGCCAATGTACAAGTCAGTTTTGTATCCTTCCAAGGAGCAGCTGTGACAATTAACCTATCCGGATGGAAGTGCTCGGTTGCCCGGGGCGAGAGCATCAACCCAGATTCGATTCGATCCTAGGACCGCGCGCGTGCTAAGCGTACCATTCGCTACACCACTTACGCCCTTTATTCTTTAATCACTTGTAAAATACTGAGGTAAGCAGGTGAACGACAGCGGAGGGCGACATATAACACGTCGTCTTTTTGTTTCCGTGTTTACTGTTTGTAATTTGAAACAATTTCGTTGTTTATTGGCCACGCTAGATCAAATTACAAAACTTCCCAACCTTCTGACGGTTCCGTTTGTAGGTTCCCCGGAGAAGGGTTTGGGCTTGCTTCCAGGTGACGCTTCAGTATTGAAGGCGCAACCAGGCAGAAGTCGTGTGAACGATTTTCTTCGGTTCGTAGGTTTGCAATTTAGAAAACGGTACTGAGTGTAGCGATTCCCGTGCCACCGGAAATCACGCCGACAAGGGCGCTAGGGTGTGTGGTTGTGCTTTTCTCGCCTGCATACTTCTTCTCTTTCGCGGTTCGAGTCTTTCATTGCCTTAGCATAACCGATTCGACGGTGAGCGAGCTCTCAACGTAAGCATTTTCGACGGAATCCTTTCACTTTTTCTTTATTGCCGGACCATTTCGCATCGACACTTTCGATCTCGTGTTAAAGAACCATACAAATTTGATCTTGAGGCATGCCTTTAAAGGAATCTTGCGGCGTAAAATCGATTTCTATTTGCGCCATAGGAGAGCCGCTTGGAGCTGATTACCACGATAACAGTGAAATAGAACTGAAGGGCGCAATGTGCCTCGGGGGGGGGGGGGGACCAGTCGCCGCGCGCGGCCGTGCGGCAACAGGAAATTCGTGAGCCAGGGGGAGTGTAGCCAATTCAGGGGGGTTGGGGGTGAGGGCAGTCACATGACATGCGTGAGAAGCTGGAATGTTCCGTGAGAAGCCGGAATGTTCGAATTTCCTGTTGCCGCACGGCCGCGCGCGGCGACTGGCCCCCCTCGAGTCACATAGCCGTGGCCTATAGTAGGAAAAAGAACTGAAGTATTGCTTTCGTTTTGATTAGAAATTCGAAAACTCGAAAAGGCTGCTACGCGTTCGAATTGCCCACGGACGTCTTTCACGAATGCTGGCGACGGGGATGCTCAAACTTGGTTCTTGGAGTGCATTCACTAGAAGCTCTTTCTGGCCTTCTGCTTCGTTGCATTCACATCTTACACTTCTACTCCATCCTATTCCATCGATCGATTTGTCTCCACTCTCCGAAATCGCGCGCTTTAACCCGATTCTCTCATTGCGTCGCCTGGTACGTAGCCGGCCAAACGCCGTCTTCTTTCCATGCCTCGCCTGGCTCTGCCTCCTGGTCCTTCGATGGTCCATAACGTGTAGTTTTTGTACGTTTGTTTCTCTTCAGAAACCGAATCTTCATGCGTGAAACTTTGTGTGCTATTTCCAGTGATCACAACTGACATATTCATGTTAGGAGAATGAGTTGCAAGAGATTTGTTCCGGGGGCGCAGGATTCCTTTAACGTGCATCAACACTTGCGTTACTAACACAGGGGGTGAGCTAATGCGTCGCATCATCAGTGGAATTCTCGTCCATTGAAGAAGACGAGATTTCCTTGAGATCCAACAGCAAAAACTTATTTGACCAACATCGTTTGACAAAAAAATTCAAAAAGCAAAAATTTAGTGGTTCATAGTGACCAGTAGAGACGGTGGACTCTGTGGTTATCCAAACTGTATAGGTATGAACGCATCACGGCAAGGCTGCTGAAAGAGATTGAACGAGAAAATAGCGAAGATAACCCACGATATGCTTGCTTCCACCATCAAATCGCCAAAAATTGGCTCAGATACTTCAAGAAATCCATATTCGTCCAAAAATGCAAATGGCTCCATGAAACGGTCACATCTGATGTCCCTGTAATAGTAAACAGGCTATTGCTGGAAGGCAAGATTCAAGCTAAACTGATGAGGTAATTCTACTCAAATGTGATGTAGGGGCGGGAGGTGGACCGCCAGTGGAGAAAAAAGGAAAAAAATCCTGAAATACACAGGAAATACGAGCCTTTTGCTCTACGTTGCGGAGAAGTTCAAAAGGCCGGCAGGGAGATGAGAGATAATGTGAGCGCGGAGAGCGGTAGAGAAATCGAGAAGAGAGAGCATAGCAGATCAGCATTGCGACGCAGACAAAATATCGAGCGGTGGGCGGAGCGTGTCGCAACAGGAGTCAAAGTCCTTGGCCCCTAGCGCCTTAGTGACGCATTTGGATGCGGGAACTTGGCGAGTCGCCTGCAGCTGCGTCCCATGCACTTCTAGCCACTTTAAGGGCTTATTAGGTGGGTCTGAGCCCGAACTTTGCCTTTAACGTCTCTCTTGGTTCCGAGAGCTTTGCGCTAGCGGTTTTTTTCTGCAAAGAACAGTGATTTCGACCAGGAATATATTTACCTGAAGCGAGGGGTGTTGATAGGCGGACTCTCGTGAACACCTCGAAGCACTGGCCATTTGCATTCGTTTTCCATCATAGAACTGATTGCTGAAACGTGACCAGAAAAGCTGTGTGATCATATCGATTCGAATTCGAGGGGTCAATCTTTAACAGCATGGAAATGTTCCAAAGGAGGGAACATAGGTCGCCATGGCCGTTCAAGAAGCTATGTACATCAGTGTGCCTTCGAACGCTTATCTCCAATCTACCTTCCAAATCTGCTAAACATTTTTCGAACGGAATTATGAAGCCGAATAGTTAGGTTGTACTCTCTCTCTCTCAGGTGAGAGCTCCAGGGATCGGCCCCTACGAGTTGTGTTCCTTTATTCCTGTCTGCAACGTTTTTAAAAAGACTGTTACACACAATAATATGATCAGTGATCTGTACACAAGTCCACTGATCAACCTAGTTGTGACGCAGAGTTTAGAAAAATACTCAACGAATCTTCTGAACTGGCCCCTCTCTTGTTTTGCCTTTTACAAGGTAATTAAGCCAGCCGTTAACCCGTCATTAGTTATTGTGACTCAACTGAGAACGACTGCTGCCCTTTGAGCCTCTGATAGTATTTCTATTTGAGTATACTCTGTATAACTGCCAAGCGCATCCACTGGACGTATGGAAATAAATAAATAAATAAATAAATAAATAATAAATAATCCATAAGTGCTTGTCTGAAGCTCAGTGCAAGAGTTGGTGTGCAGTAGTTGAAAAACTTCAGTGTTCCCGCTCGACTGTTTATGGCGCCCGCCATGTGCCTTACGTTTTCTCACAAATGAGATGCAATACCGGTTATCAGGGCTTCGATTCACCCCATGAAGCAAGTTTTCAGCAGAATCTGAAATTTTGACTTGACCTCAAAAACATTGAATTATGAATAGGGAGTGGCTAACCTCAGCAACTGCTCCCAAACCTTTTGTGCAGACAGTTTTGGGTAAGCATTGACGTAATAGTATGTAAATAAAATTGTTCTCAGAAATGTTACAGACAGAAGTAAAAAAAAACAAGCGCGGGGAGGAACCGATCTTACGAAGTCCTCCCGACCTCTACTGCTAAGCTTTCGCTTCGTAACTCTGTTTGAAAAACCGTTGAACAGATTTGGAAGGTAGTTTCGAGATCCATGGCAATCTACAATTCTTTCCTTGTTAGGGGAATTTTCTCAGTCATCTGCTGAGAATCACTCTCATTCACGCACAATGAAACAGGTCATCAAACAAAAACGTTTCGATGATAAACTAAATCTTACCTGACGGTGGAATCGCCAGAGAAAGTTCGTCGAAAGAGTCTGCCGTGTACACATAGGTAAGAAACTTATGGTTATTATAAAAATAAAAGGATGCTGCTAAAACAAATGTCACGATGACCCAGGACTGAAAATAGGAGCTTTACAGCAAATCCATCTTGAATAAGCGTAAAGGGAACCAGAATAATATGAAACTCACCCCAACTTGGGCGCCTGTGGACATTCTGCTGGACGTTTGCCTTGCCTCCGATATGGAAGTCAAATCCAATCTCTTCTTAACGACTTGGATCGCGGTTTCCAATATCCGAAATTGACCGATGGTTGGTTGCCTGTCAAGCCGACGTTCGAATGAAAGTCCGCAAAAGAACACAAACGGAAAGCGGTCGCCCTAATTAATCGTATTCTACACCCAAAAGTCTCTCATTCGACAAGAATACGGAACAAGCTTTGCACCCGGGAAATTCGCCCTGAAAACTCGCCTTTTTTGATAGTGAAAATGGACTAATGGTCAGCAGAGCGGCCGCAAAGGGCTCCACCAAAAGAAACCAGTTCTTCCTTAATCTAAATTTCTCCTGAGTGAAAAGTGAGAAAGGAGGGCGGGAGGGTGGGTAGTGAAAAGGAAAAGAGTGGCCATGTTTTGTTGCTTCTGGATTCCTTTGACGTCCAGATTTGAATTTTGTGAAACTGCAGGCAAAACTGCCAAACGATTATCGTGGCATATATGAAAGTCATGACACTCGGAAATGCGAAAGTTTTTCAATTTGATAAAGATAAAGCAAATCTAATTATCTTTAAAAAGGTAGGGTCCCTATTCTTGTAGTTGAGCAGCTAATTCTAGAACACTTGCCAGAACAACGACGGGGTGAATTATTGAATAATCCCTTACAAGGGTTGGCCACACACTCGGTTTCATCCAGAATTGTAACAGCATGTGAATGGGTTTATATGTATTGGTTTGCGAAGGTCGACCGATGTAAAAGTTTTTGGAATTAACTACTAGTGGCAACTAGTGCACCGTAGAGGGGTGGAATCAGGGTCAACCCTACGTTGT